TCCAGTAATGCTTCAGCTCCGGTTTAATCTCATCCTCAACTTCGCACTGCACGTGGATAAACTCAAAATTAAATCTTGATACAAGTACTTTTCGTCAATTCAGAACTCATTCTTCATAAATCACAATAAACGTTTGTCACGGTCAAAAATTAGTTTTTTTTTGGGTCCTTCCAATCTTATTCTCATGCAAGTCCCAATTTCGACAGCTAATCTAATGATAAACATAAAGAAACCTAAAAATTTGCGAAAAGATTTTGATCAAGCAAATAAACACTAACCCATAGATAGATTCTCCACCTCTCCCAGTTCCAGTAGGATCACCGCCTTGTACCATAAAAATCCTAAAACACAACACAAATTAAACAAAAAATCAAGCAAAACAAAAAGTTGGTGGCAAACTAGGGCAGAAGAGATCGACGATCACCTTGATGATCCTATGGAACTTGACGTCATCGTAGTATCCTCTCCGTGAAAGCTGGACGAAGTTCCTGCAGGTCTTTGGAGCGTGCTTATAGTACATCTGCGGAGCACCGGACTCGAGTTGGTTAGCTTTAGAGAAAGAAAGAGAGATGATGAGAAAGAGAGGGAAGCGAGGAGGTAAGCTTACCTCGACGGTGAAGGGACCCATGGAGGTCTCCACGGTGACCTCCGGCGGGCCGCCGTCTGCGCTTGCCCACATGGCGGAGCACCGGACTCGAAGGCGAAGGAGAGAGGTTTTGGAAGCGGGCTAGGGTTCTCGGGTCAGGTCACGCCCGCGAGAGTTTTGACGATTTTTTTTTTATTTTTTATTTACCACAGGAGCTTGTATGTTCTTCCTGTGTCGACATGCGAATCGGGTTTGACTTGAACCCGTTATCCGACAAAATGAACTTAATATGTGGGTGAGAAACTGGGTGCGCGCGAAATGGGTGGCGAAAAATAACTAAGAAAAGCCCGGTGTTACAAATTTCTGCCCCCTCCCTAGGGGTGTCCAAAAAGCCCGGAGCCGCGGGCCCGCCGGCCCGGTGTCCGCCGGGCCGCCCGGTCGTGCCGGGCCCGGGCCGGGCCCGGAAACCGGCAAACCCGGTCCGGCCCGGGCCCGGGTCGCGTTGGCGAGCCTTGTCCGGGCCCGGAACAGTAACATTTTTTAATTTTTTTGTTTTTTTTTTATTTTTTTATTTTCTTATATATAAAATATATGTATATGTGTATATATATAATATATATATACTTATCTACTATTATATATATATTAATATATATATATATTATATATATATATATATATATATATATTATATATATATATATATATATATATATATATATATATATATATATATATATTATATATATACTCTCTTAGTATATAATTATATATAAGTATACTCTCTCTTATATAAGTATATATATGGGTGAAAACTTGTGTCAACTTAAGTGGATAGGGAATAGTGTGTCCACCAAAGTTTTTAACCACTCATATTACCTAGGGATCCATGTATTATATAAAAGGTGTTTTATATTAATAAATGTTGTGGCTACAAACTTTGGTGGACATCAACTTAAGTTGATAGGAGTCTTCCTCTATATATATGTATAAGTATGCTCTGTTTAATATATGTATAAGTATATATAAAGTATACAATGTATACTCTCTCTTATATAAGTATACTCTCTCTTATATATGTAATATATATATATATATATATATATATATATATAATATATATATATATATATTATATATATATATATATATATACTCTCTTTATACTCATGTTATATAAGTATATATAGTAATATACATGATACCTCGTATATGTATTTCGCCCTTCCCTTCTTAATATATATATATATATAAGTATAATGTATAAGTATACTCTCTCTTATATATGTATAATATATGTATAAGTATATATAAGTATACTCTCTCTTATATATGTATAATATATGTGTGTATATATAAGTTTATATGTGTGTGTGTTTTTATGTATAATACAATTTGTTTATGTAATTACTATAAGTATTTACAATTTGTTTATGTATAATATATGTATATGTGTGTCAGTGTGTGTGTATATATATACATATACATATATTGAATGACATGAATACTTTGGGCTACTTAGTATATAAGTATATATAAATATAAGTATATTCTCTCTTATATATGTTTATATCTCTTATATAATTATATATATGTATAAGTATGCTCTCTCTTATATATGTGTACAGTGTATACTCTCTCTTATATATATATTTATATTCTCTCTCTCTTAGTATATAAGTATACTTATATATACACATATATAAACATAAACTTATATGTACATATATAAGTATATTTATATAATAGTATAAATACATATAAGAGTATAAATATATATTTATATATCTATACATATATATAAACATAAACTTATATGTACATATAATATAATTATATTTATATAAGAGTATAAATATATATATACTATTATATAAATATAATTTTTATGTAATTTTTATGTTTTATTGTTTTTTAAAATTTTAAAAAAAATAAAAAAATAAAAAAACAAAAAAATCCGGGCCGGCCCGGAGCCGGGCCCGGGCGGGCCCGGCCCGGGGTACTCGGGCCCGGGTCCGGGCTCCGGTTTTGCCCGGCCCGGGCCCGAATTTCCGGGCCGGGCCGGGCCGGCCCGGATGGACAGCCCTACCCCTCCCCCACTCCATTTCTTCTCAAAAAAACCCGCCTTCATCTCTCACTCCTTCTTATTTCTTGCCCTAATAAAGCTTCGATCTTTCTTGACTCGATCGGGTCTTTCCTTGATCCAATGATTCTGTCCAAATCCCTTGCTGGGTAAGCATCTGTGAGAGTGATTTGAATAAGTCAACAAATGTTGCCTTCTAATCTTGCGGCACCTTAGTCAATTTCTGCAACTCTTAACTTAACATTAGCTCTTCTGTTTCACCTACCAAGTTGTCTCCCTCGTTTGCCTATCAAAAGAGTTGTGAAGTATGAGGAAATAGCATCGAGACAGAGAGGAGTTTTAGAGAAGAGAGATAGAATTAATTTATGTAGAAAATTAATTTATTTCTTTGTGTGATTCTTTGGTGAGGTTAGAGAGCGGTTTCCTTTGTAATCTTTTCTTTTATGATTAGTGAAGTTCTTTATTGTTCTCGTCCGTAGACGTAGGTCATACTGACCGAACCACGTTAAATCATCGTGTGATGTTTTCTTTACCTTTACTGTGTTAATTCAGTGTTGTTATTCTCCACTTTTGTACAGACATTTTTTGTGTCTGTGAAGCCCCCCACTGTAACAGCATCATTGATCACTTTCATCAGCATTTGATTTTCTTGATCCCACGATGTTGTGCGAGTTTAGGATTTTGGCGGGATTCATCGGATTCTGGTGTTCTTGAGGCTTTCGGCATCGATCTGGGGCCTTTTGTTACTGCTTTAATCGGAAATGGAGCTTCAGCCATCAACTTCCGTGTTTGATTATGCTCGCTTCTTGATCCAAAGATTTCGTGTGAGTTCAGGCTTTTTTTTAGCGGGATTGATCGGGTTCTTGTGTTCTTGGGGAATTCTTTACCGCGAATTAGCGATTTAATTGTTCTCAGATTTCTAAGTAGAATCTTGTTTCTTGGTCGAATAAGAAGTATTAGGAGAATCTGAGAAATGAAAGTGGCCTTGGCTTGAAAGAATCATTTGTTGGATATTTTATTGGAGAAAAAATAATTTTGCCTTCATGAATAGTTTCATATGGAATAATGAGATGAATAGTTGGTGGTTTAAATTGCATCTTCCCTTTATTGGGTTTTGAATAGTGTTTTGAGTTTTGTATTGTTTGGGCTTTGCATAACACACACGCACGCATGCCCACACAATGACGCACGCACCACACCGCACCGCACGCGCACGTTTTTTGTTTTCTCTGGCT